AGGGGTTATAGGACTCTCAGGCTGCCAGTGAAGGTCTGTCGTGCTTGATGCTCCTGAGGGATATGATTTCTGACCTCTCTATAGCTCCTTTTTATACCTGTGCCCTCTAGTCCCTATCCCATGACCCCCCTTTCACCCCCACCTCCCCCATTTAGAAGTGCTTATTATGTATAAAATGGGAATGACATGAGGGACATACTTTGAAGGCCACCCCAAGACATTAAGCATTTAAAAACATCTTTGTCAAAAAAGTAATATGTTTGTCTCTCTAAGCACTATAGAATTTCTAAGCACTATTTCTTTTCAAAAACCTTGAGAGCAAAATTTGGTGAGTTTTATTAGTTCCCAACCTGCTTTATCTCACTGTAAAAAAAAAATAATTCTACCCATTTCAACTTAAAAACTTAAAAGTTCAGTTGCTGCCTTACATTTTTAAGTATAATCAACTTGGTTGTACAACTTAAAAATCAAGCTGAATTGCATAACTTATTTAAAAAGTTTAAACTGAACATAAGTTGCCATCATATCACTCATCATTTCATATCACATCATCATATCATATTTTACAGTGTATTTATTTTAGTTTGCATTTTATTGACTTGCATTTACCATTTTAAACATAATATGAATAATATATTTATATTGTTCATACATAACAAGTATTAAAGTCTTCAACTTTATAATTATGATATTTTTATAATGTAAGTGATCAAAAATAGCAAATGCTAAAAATAATTTGATAATTAAATGAAATGTTAACTTGCTTGTTTTAAAACTATCTTTATATTTTATTTTAGATTTTTATATACATAAGCTAAAAAAATAAACAGACTGTATGCTAATGCAGAAGGATTGTTTTGGCATGTTAATCAAACATATTGTATAGAATTACACTTATTGGAAAAGTGTGTCAATGGATGGTGTCTTTTCCTGCAATTGCTCTCCGTTCAAGCATTGTAATCAATAAAACAATAGACTCTATAAAATATTAACTAACAACGACATTAACAACATGCTTAACCTAAGTTCAAGCAAAAGGCTGTGAATGGATATCTCTTTGTGTCGTCTGATCTCTTTTCAAAAGGAACATAAAAGAAACATGTTTGGAAGGCAAGGAAAACAAGTAGAGCGATTTGTGGAATGATTAATAGGACAGTTTGCATGTGTGAGTATTGTCACTCCCTCTCTCTGCTCCAGAGGATCCAGAGGGGATAACAGTCATTTCAAAGTCAAGGTGGCTGCCAAGCTTGTCAATGCAGATGAGCTGTTTAGATGTGCTGTTGCATTAAGCCAGACTAAAGCAAACTGAACCCTATAATCACAAAAGGATCCTTCAGCCCAAAACGAAATATAACAGTGATGTTAAGTGATGTTTGGACTGCTTTTGATGAAGTCCAGGTTCATCTTATCTTTTTTGTATTCGTAGATTATTTATTAATGGTTCCTGGATTAATTTTTTATGTAAAAGATGCAGGATCTCAACGTTTTTGTTAAATAGTTTGGCAAGACTGCATTGAAGTTTTCTGCAGTTGTTGTTTTTTTCCTTTATCAGAAAAGTAGACCATTACATCCCCCCGTTAATCAAGCTGATACTGCATTCTGCTGCAGTCTAAATCCAATCAACTTGTTTAATTTTAAGATAAGTGTGCAAAGTTTTCATTTATTTGTTTTGTGTATAATTACCTGGCAACGTTTGTACATATATACACTGTTAAAAGGTTTTAAATTGGCATTTATGGTTCCATAAAGAACCTTTGACATTCATGAAACCTTCCATTGTACAAAATGTTCTTTATAGTGGAAAAATCGTCTTCAGATTATTTAAATATTATTCGCACAAAATGGTTCTTCTATGGTATTGCTGCTCAGACACTCCTTTGGAACCTTTATTTTAATAAAAGTGTGTATACATAAAGAGTAACTTTCTTTTTCCTCCTGTTTCTTTATTTCCATATTTGAAATGACATAATAAACCTTATATAAACTCTAGGTGGTAGTATTGAGCTTTACTAGCATTAATACTGTGGCATGATTTTTCAGTCATACACAGTTCGAAAATCAGATGCATTCAAACATTACAGATGACATTTTCACTGCAGTTTATAGCAATTGATTTAAATGAATAAAATAATTGCTGACTTTTTACTTGTAAAAGGAGGTTGTCTCTCGAAAAATAAAAATTGTACCTGTGATGCAACTAAAAAGCCGAAATAACTAAAGTGAACATGTATATTGAGTCCATAGAGTACTGCAGGAATAGCGTGTTTTTGTAGTCCAAAACATGGACACGAGTTTTAGCACTTCCGGTTCCGTCGTCCTTAAGTCATTAGCTTTTTTAAGGTTTTAAGGTGAAATAAGGTCTGTGGTTAAAAACAAGCTCAAGATATTTGCATGATTCATTCTAAGACATAAAATACATCAGTGATCCCC